GAGACGTACCGGCCCTTTGTTTAGTTTCGACAGCAGATTCCATACTTCCTCAAGAAATTGTTTAACGTAATTCGGGCTCTTTGTAGATTTTGACTCCTTGTCTTCGTCTGTGCCTTCGCCTTGATCCTCAGCTTCTACAATTTCAGAGGGCCGGCGTTCTAGTTTGGGGGTGATCATTTGGTACAAAAAGTCTAGCAAGTGAGCACATTCTGAGACTTTGATCTTCGGCAGGTCCTCATCCTTCATCTTGAAGGGTGAAAGCTCTTTGCACAATCCCATCAACATCGAAAGCAGCATCTCGTCAGCAGTTTCCAACGATTGGAATCGAAACTCCAACATTTTTCTCAAAACAAATAGTGGGATTTGGTTCTCAAGCATTACCAAGTCCCTTAGAATTGAATGGTGTGCTGAGTTCCTGCCTGAATAGTCAACCAAGCGTGACATCTTTGAGGAAACTCTGGTCAAAATCTTCCCTTCTTTGGCTCCATAGACTTGGACCATCTCTAGCAAGAATGATGCGTCGATCGCCATCATCCACCCTAGAGTCTCACCATTGAAATCCAGGTACTTGTGGTAGCAAGCACGAATACGCGGCTCAAGCTTTATCAATTGATCAACAAGATTTTGGAACTTAAGGCACTGGAGATTCTTTTGTGTTCTTTTAGCTGCAGCCACTTTGTACCTCTCCATCTCGTAGAGCTCCGGACGCAAATAATGGTAAGGACCAATTGCAACTTCTTGTGGGGTGTAGGAATCAGGATCACTTGCCAAAAGGGTTTTCGGGACATTGAAAATGGAAACGGGGATTTCGCTATCATCGTCGAGCTCTTCCTCGAGTGTTTTTCGGATTTGAATAACCCATTGGAACTCGTTGAAGTTCGAACTAGATTTGGAAGAGAAACTTTGTTGGAGAGAGGACATGTTTATGGTGTGTTGTTCTAGCTTTTTTTAGGATCATAAACTTTTTTGGTGGGTTGAAAGACAGTTTCTGATCAGATTGTGAGGAAGTTATGAGAAGAACTAAGGAGAGAGTCCTCATATTAATATTGTCATTAGTGACCTTTAAGAGTGTTTTTGAATTTATCAATTGGGAATGCGTTTTCCTCATGCTTTAATTGTTTACTATATGAAATGTGTCTTTTACCTTGCTCATGACATAGATCTGAGTTGGCTACGGCATGTCTTCATTATATCAAATTCTAATCCTTCTAAGTAATTGGTGTTAGCAAGAGTAGAGAGGATGTAGAGTGATGAGCATGAGAGATTTTTCAGTGTGTTAGAAACACGGTCCGGTACGTCAAGTGTAATAATACAATTAATTGGAAACTTGAAAAAGAAAATTTAAACAATTGCGTTATAACATTTAGTGTACCGAATCATATTTCTAGCACAATGAAAATTTTCTTTATAAGTAAGAATAAGTTAAATCAAAAGTTTGACACCCTTAAATATAACGAAAAATATGTAATAATTCATCTATTGGTGACAGGGAGTTATATGTTTGTTATTCCCACTTGGTGCAAGTAGGATTAATGTAGTGTGAGAATCATAATCATTGGGCTCCATTTCACGTGTAGAAGCCCTGTGGGATGATAGTGCCATGTTGGCCTTTAAAGAAAGGAATAAAAAAAATGAGAATTCGTTGTGGAATCCACAACATATTGAATTTCAACGATCCGAATCGTTTATTTTTTAAGTTGTACCTCATAAATCATCCTTGCAAAATATTAGCCAAATCAGAAATATTTAAGATATTTAATTGAGTTCAAAGAAATGAACAAATACTTTGTTATACAAGAAACAATGAAATTTGATGTTGATAATTAAATAGACAAATGATTGTCACTCAGTACTACGGTCTGTTGGTATTCCTCTTAACTTGGAAGTGACAGGTCTTAGGTTCGAATCTCGTGAATGGCGAATTCGATACCAAATTAGGCTGCCCATTGTATGACATTTAGTACTACAATATAATTGTAATTTTTTTCACATGTAATTGAGAGGTTTTCAGTTTGATTTTCATTAAAGAAAAATTCGAATCACATTATTACTAGTTTATTGTGAGGCTAACACATGTCTTCTCTCTTATTATAGATAATATCGTTCGTTAAAAGAAAATAATTAATTAATTCTTGTTCCGTCTAAAAACAGACAACAGACTAACTCTGATCTAATGATAAATCTTTTACCAGTATTTAAAAGAAGTTAATTTGATGTGTAAAAGTAAACTAACTCTGAATCTAACGATAACTCTTTCATCGGTATTTGAAAGTTTCAAGTTCAATTTCAATCCCTAGTGATTAAAAAATAAAGTAAAATCCTAATTGATGCGGTCGATTTTTTATACGTATGCCAACAATTATTACGCAACTATCACGTTATGTGTTGTCACATTAGTTAGGTTTTAATTTTTTTTTTTTTAAAAGGAGACAATTTGTGACAAGCCACGGTTATCCACCATTTCCGGGTCGGAGATGCTATAAGGAATTTCACCCTTGCCCATTGCTACGGTCAAGCAGACTCACAAACTCGGAGCATCAAACCCAAGACTTTCCATATTTTTTTGTTTGTTTATTGAAAAGCCACATTCCACTTTAATTCTAAAATGTTGAGATAATAGTTAGTGTATGTCATATTACTCATTTTTTTACCCTAAATTCATCCACCATATGAAAAAATGTGTCACGTTAGTCATTTATAAAATGTTGAGATAATAGTTTGTGTACATCACATTACTCTTTTTGCTTTACAAACGATAAGATAATTACATCTATACTACAGAGAGATGCAAATTCGAACTTCAATGTAGATGATAAAGTATACTGCTTTAGTCAACTTGGCTAAACTCATATTTATTTGGATTATATTACTCTTAATATTTTATAATTGTGGCGTGGAGGGCTTACATTTCATAATATTAGCATAAACCCTATCCTAACTTAATAATTCGTTAACTGGAATCGAATTACATCAGCATAGACAAAAGAGGACAACCATATTGGTTCCTTCCCTAGCCGTGAATAATGGTTAGTTTAATAATTCTTTTGGAAGATTTGAGTTTAATAACTAAACACAAAGATAGAAGATAAGTATGCCAAGAAAAAACACATCCGTTATAGCCAAATTCTTTGCCAACTCTCTTTTTCCATGAAGTTCCATGTTTGCAATTCGAATTACTTTTATAGGTAGCTCAAGTTTGCAATTTTAATTATGATCTTCTTGTAAACAAAGTATGACACTGTGCTTGGTATTAACACACAATCCAACTCACCATAACAGTTTTCTGTTTACTTTGTGCAACTAATTTTGTCTTAGAGTAATTAGTTATACTTGATTAGATGCTGATTATGATTAGCAGGTGTATATATACACAGTTGTAAATATTCTTTCAATTAATGAAAATAGCACAATTCATAACTCATCATATGGTATCAACCGCCATTGCTTAACAGCCTCTTCATGATCCTCTCCATCTCTTCATGATTCTCACTGACCTTCACTTCTCGATCGATTTTCTTTGCGTCTCTCTTCATGATTTTCTTCAATTCTTGATCGATTTTTCGTCTCTTTGATCTTTAATCTTTGTTTTTCTCTACTTCTCCGATGACATCTTCGGATTCTTCTCCAGCGAATCCTAACATTCTTGCCCCCAATTCATCTTCGATGAACCCTAACCCTAATTCTCCAATTTCATCTATTTCTTCAATTATAATCCAAAACATTAGTTGTATGGTTCCCATGAAGCTCAAACGAGACAATTATCTCATCTGGAAGACGTTCTTTGCTCCAATTTTTCGTCGTTACAAGCTTACTGGAATTCTTGATGACACTGAGGTATGTCCACCTCCATATCTTCTTGACGGTTCTGGACAACACCGGTGTTCCGAATCCAGCCTTTGAAACTTGGTATGAGAAGGATCAAAACATCCTCATTTGGTTGAATTCCACTATCTCTAAAGAGATCATACGTTTCACTGTCGGTGTATCATCTTCTCACGAACTATGGATCAATCTTGAACAATGCTTCAGTGGAGTCTCTGTTGCGCACATTCACCAACTCCACACTTGCCTTCACTCAGTTCAGAAAGGTGTCTTTCATTCTCTGAATACATTCAACAAATCAAGAGTATCTCGGATGCTTTAATGGTTATTGGCGCGCCAATTTCTGATCATGACCTTATTGCTGTTACGCTCAATGGTCTCTCTGATGAGTACAAGTCATTTATTGATTCTATCATGATGTGAATTTCCTCCACAACTCTTGATGAACTTCATGGCTTATTGATCAACAAAGAACTTTTCATGAGTCAAAAGAAAAAAATATGTTGTTCCTTCTATTTCAGAACCTTTTCATGCTTATGCTGCTCAGTCTCAGCGTTCTTAGGCTCCGATTCTTCCAACGCCTCAATTCAATGCCTTTCCCCAAACTTTTGATGCTCCATACTCCAACTACAATTCTTCTAAGAATTATCAAGGCAGCAATCGTGGTCATAACCACAGCAATAATCGTGGCAAACAATCGTAGTTTCAACAATTATTGTGGGTCTGTGTCACACCCCAAAACTTGAGATGTGAGATTAAGTAAAATAAATAGAACAAAGTGGCCGTTTAAGGATGCAAAACAAATTTCATCTTAAGATTATGTCGACGAAAAGTTAAATCCCCCAATTTCCATAAAGTTAAACTACAAAAGTCAATTTAAAGAAATAGAGTTAAAGGTCTCATGGTAATACAAACTACAAAAGCGACCTAAACCGTAAAATTCACCGAAAATAGCTCGTTCAACCAAAATGCGTGAAAATTTCCAGATCCAATGTTAACCCACGAAACTAAGTTGTGTCAAAATTTCATTGATTTTCGAGTTCGGGAAGTATAGGAAAATGTTAAAACTAAAACAGGCATGCTGCTGTTTTCCTGTAAGAACAATTTCAGCAGCTCCAAATTACTCTGCAAACAAAACTATCTATATTCCAAATCTGAATTTTTGCAACATTCCACTTAGGTAATAGATACACACCCACAGTTTTAAACATAACCAAGTTCATAGTGGTTCTTCAAGAGCCATTCATAAAACCTTACAGATTAAAATAAGTTCACAAAAGACCTTTAGGTCTTCTAACAAGAAAACATTTTCAGGCTATTTGAGGAAAATGTACATGAGCAAAACTATACAAGCCAAAAGACAAGTAGTTATATATACATGATTTTCATAGCCCAGGTAAGTAGAATCTCCAACCCACCGAGGTCGACATCATTTTAGTCTACTACGCCACAAAAGGATCATTTACAAACAAAAACTAACTATACAAACACTTTGGCAGCTCACCCAAAAGAAGTGTACGCCTGGACTCCCGTCAACTAACCCACATTAGAGCTGCCACTTGAAAATCAGCTAGTCGACTCTACACACCTGAAAGTACATGTGTAGAAAAACGGGGTGAGCATAAAATGCCCAGTAGGGGTAAGTCCGTAGTCATTTAAAATCTCTAGTGCATGCCGAAAGTAATAAAAGTGATTCAAAACAGTTTATTTTCACCACCACGTAATCCAACAATTTAAAAATTTATGGAAAGTAACATATGACAGAAAAACCAAAGGTTTCGGAGCATTAGCAGCTTGATAACAACGGTACAACACACAAGTTCAAAAATCACTTCTTTTGTCATAAGGATAACAAAGCCATTATCATTTAAAGAATCACTAGCACACCAAATCACAAAGATCTTCTTTTATCCCAAACAAGTGACAAGCAGATTGGAAAGAACCGTAATATACCTGGCCAATACACATATCACATGTATTTATCACTTTCATAACTCATTCTCACAGCCCCCACACATGGAGCTTTCCCCGGGGAACCTTGGGTCATTGTGCCCATAATCAAACAACTTCACGGGTCATTGTGCCCATTCATACATTTCTCAACATTCTCAACTGCACAGGTATTACACTATTTTTCATCTACTTTCACAATTTGAACATTCGTATTGAGATGCTTCAATATTTGGTATTGAGTAAAATAAGAGGCATGCACATCAAAACAAAATCTTGAAAAAACTCATTTCAATCACTTTAAACTCACCAAAGTTGTAGTAACGGAATTTGAATCATTTAGATCAAACCATAGTGCAATATTTTCTCCACTTCTTTTACATAATCGAAAAAGAAAACATTTTAAGTAAGCTTAAAAAATGTTCAAATGCCATCAATCCTTAATCAAGTAAAAATGAAAAACCAAAATATTTTATTTTTGATTAAAACTCCCCTACCTCAACACAATTTCTTGATATTCAACTTCCATGGTGTTCGTCGACTTGTGTCGTCCCCTTGTCCTTCTCTTCCTTATCTATAAACAAGAAAAATCATTACGCACCACTTATACAAATATCTAACAACATACCCTAATTCAAGGTTAATTGGGGACTTAAATCAAACACTTGGTGCTCAACTCTAAAACTATAACATGAACTATGATACCTTCATGTTCTTTTACTCCGACCCAAACTAATTCATGGGTTAACAAACCAAAAAAAATCAAATAGATCCCAAAGGTAAGAAATAGATACCTTAAATGGAGACAAAGGAAAGATCCTCACTTGTTCTAATCTTCACAAGCAAAGAAAATTAAACTCCTCTTCCTTAGATTTCCTTTTTGACAAGTGAAGAGCTAAAAGGGGTAAACCCCTTTCATTATTTTTGGCTGGAGGGAAGGCAGGAAGGGAACATAGGGATTTCTAGAACCCATCCCTTTTTTTTATATCCCAAACGTCAACTTTACCTCCTTTTTTTTTTCTTTATATATATATATATATATATATATTTTTTTTTCCAATGGCCAAAGGCCAATTGATCTAACCTCAAATAATGCAAAACAATTTTTGCTAACAAAGACCACAAGCAATTCACTCTTAATCCCCACTTAAAATTTTCGGGATATTACAATCTGGCAATTTTCGAGGCACCTCTTACAATCCAAGTCGTTCTTCAGGAGGATCAAATCGATAGTACTTTGGTGGCCGAGTTCCCTATCAAATATGTCACTCTTAGGATCATGAAGCAATTGACTACTTCAAACGCATGAATCATGCCTTTGCTGGAAAAATTCCACCAGCTAAATTAGCAAGGATGCGTGCTTATACCATTGCTAAATCTTCTTGTCCTACCTGGATTTTGGACTCTGGAGCTACCTCACGTATCACAAATGATATCTCTTCCATTCATTCTCATATGCCTTATCAAGGTGAAGACAAGGTTTATATCGGTGATGATCAAGGTATGCCCATTCACCACACTGGTACTTCTGTTCTTAAAACTCCAACTGCGGCATTTAAGTTGAACAATGTTCTTCATGTTCCTCATATGAAGTTTAATCTTCTTTCTGCATATCAAATTTTAAAGGATAATTACTGTCAATTAATCCTTGATTCTGATGGTTCTACAATCAAGGACCGTTCTACAGGGAATATGCTTTTTTAGGGGCCAGTTAGCTCTGGTTTTTATCTCGTCCAAGGTACTTCTCATGCTTCTGTCTGTGCTCCAGCATCTACATCGTCCTATGCAAAAATTAGTACTCCAACTTCATTACAACTTTGGCATAAGAGGCTTGGACATCCCTCTTCTACAATTTTCAGGAAGATATTAACTAGAAATAAGCTTGCTTACACTGGCTAACAGTCTGTATGTTTCTTTTGTCAAGATTATGCCATTGGAAAAAATCATAAGCTACCATTTTCTGTAAGCACTAGTAGTACTACTCACAGTCTAGAACTTGTTCACTGTGATGTTTAGGGCCCTGCTTCTATATCCTCTATTAGTGGATATAAATTCTATGTTTTATTTGTTAATGAGTTTACCAAATGTAATTGGTTGTTTCCTTTGAAGTCAAAATCTGAGGTCTTCTCCATATTTGTACATTTCAAATCATATGTTGAAAAGTTGACTAGAAACAAAATCAAGATTCTGCGATCTGATTATTAATGAAATTTGTAATTCTCGTCATTTTCTATTTTATTTATCCAGCGTCCAAACAATGAAATTTCAACTTACAAAATTTTAAAAACTAGTGTAAATTATAAACTCCCGTTATTTATAATTTTATGAAAATTTAAAACTATCAATCCATACAAAGTGAGAATTTTCTCAAAAGCTCCTGTAGTTTCCATTTTCTTAATTTCGAACATTTCCCCTCTAATCCTCTACCCTACAAAGTAATCTGAATCACTAGCCAAGACCAAAAGAGTTTTGACTTTTGGAGCATTGAATTCAGTTAGAATTGGAAGAGAGTGCTGGTTGGAGAGAAGACATGTTTATGTTGTACTTTTGATTAATCCTGCCATGAAATTTGTAATTCTCGTCATTTTCTATTTTATTTATCCAACATCCAAACAATAAATTTCAACTTACAAAATTTTAAAAACTAGTGTAAATTATAAACTCCCGTTATTTATAATTCTATGAAAATTAAAAACTATCAATCCATATAAAGTGAGAATTTTCTCAAAAGCCCCTATAGTTTCCATTTTCTTAATCTTGAACATTTCCCCTCCAATCCTCTACCCTACAAAGGAATCTGAATCACTAGCCAAAACCAAAAGAGTTTTGACTTTTGGGGACATTGAATGCAATTTGATTTGGAGAGAAGGCATGTTTATGTTGTACTTTCCATTAATCCTGCCATGGAAGAACTTTAACCGAATGTTTATGATATTAAACAAAACAATGGGGGTAAATGCGTTTTCCTCATGCTTAATTTAATTGTGCTTATCCTTTCAAAAATAAAAAATTATCTTTCACCATGCGTAATTGTGCATTGACCCATTCGACGTTTACTAATACCTACCGGCTGCCACCAACCAATATTGTTTTCTTTCTAATTAATCCTACTAGTGTTCCACATGTTGCTTCAAGAACCCTGTGGGAATGGGATGAAAGTTCCATGCTACTATTTCTCCACTGTAATTATTCAATATTCATATGATTTTGTATGATAAAAATGGGCCCTTTGTTTCCCTCGTTTTTGTATCCCGACTTGTTGCGTGGGTAAACTATGAACATTTTTTGTGTATTTTTTTTTGGTTTTTGGAATGGAGAAGCATGAGATTACGGTAGACTTTTTATTTACGAGTGAAAAAGAATATTGCAAAACTGTTGTACTGAATGAGAATAGTTATTTCATATCTTTTGTTTTTTTTTATATGAAAGAAAAATGTGAAAGAGAGAATGGTGGGAGAAAACTTGGAAGAATTTAAATTAGTATAATTGTTGTTTCATCTTTATTATGTAAATATTGTTTTACTGCAAGAATAATATAAGAAAACTGATGACATGGTTGGTGTCTTGAGAAAGAGGTTGGCAATCTCTCTTGGAGTTTTATCTTTAAATTTTGCTACTTGACATTCCACCTAGATTTCACTTAGTAGTAGTGTTAGTGTTGATGTGAAATATGCGACCGCAGCTATAAACTGAGCAAAACGCTTGCAATGCCATCAATAGCAAGAGAAAAACGGCAGCCAGCAAAGCAAGAATTGGCCAGCCACCAACCACATAAACCTTGAAAAATTTTGCCATTTTAACCTTCCATCTACCGTTGTAATACTTGTTCACATCTTCAATCGCCTGGTCCAAGAATGGCACTTTCGTCAACCGAATCGACTTGCTCATACCATTAAATAGATTGGCCACTTCTTCATCACTCTTCAAATGGTTCAGAATTATACCTTTTTCTCTAAGCAGCTTTGCGTCCTCCTCCGTGTCTATAATCCCGTTCATCATTTCTGTGTAGCGTGTAAAAACCAACTGCCCTGATGCATTTGATGCTTCATAAGCTACCAAGTTTCTCAGGATCACCTCTGTGTTCACATCTAAGCTAGTTGCGGGGAGGTAAAGTGTGACTGTTTTGGGATCAAAGGAGACAGATGAAATGCAACCATTTGTTGGCACAAAACGGACCCCGGATTTCATAAGATCGGACACAGAAGGGATTGTAATCTCCTCTACCAATGGAGGTCTGTTGACGGAACTCTCATTTTCGGGTTTGATTTCTTCTTTGTCTTGGGAGGAGAATAAATAAGCAACAGGTTGTTTCAAAAGTGCAAATCCAGGAAGGCTGGAGAGGATTGTCCAAGGCAATTTAAATATCACTTTAATAGGTCCGGAAACAAGTATTTTTTTAAGAAGACGTACGGGGCCTTTGCTTAGTTTCGACAGCAGCTTCCATACTTCCTCAAGAAATTGTTTAACGTAATTCGGGCTCTTCGTAGATTTTGACTCCTTGTCTTCGTCTGTGCCTTCACCTTGATCCTCAGCTTCTACAAACTCAGCTTCTACAATTTCAGAGGGCTGGCGTTCTAGTATGGGGGTGATCATTTGGTACAAAAAGTCTAGCAAGTGAGCACATTCTGAGACTTTGATCTTTGGTAGGTCCTCATCCTTCATCTTGAATAGTGAAAGCTCTTTGCACAATCCCATCAACATCGAAAGCAGCATCTCGTCGGCGGTTTCCAACGATTGGAATCGAAACTCCGACATTTTTCTCAACACAAATAGTGGGATTTGGTTCTCAAGCATTACCAAGTCCCTTAGAATTGAATGGTGTGCTGAGTTCCTGCCTGAATAGTCAACCAAGCGTGACATCTTTGAGGAAACTCTTGTTAATATCTTCCCTTCTTTGGCTCCATAAACTTGGAGAATCTCTAGCAAGAACGATGCATCAATCGCCATCATCCACCCTAGTGTCTCACCATTGAAATTCAGGTACTTGTGGTAGCAACCACGAATCCGGGGCTCCAAATTTATCAATTGGTCAACAAGATTTTGGAACTTAAGGCACTGGAGATTCTTTTGTGTTCTTTTAGCTGCAGCCACTTTGTACCTCTCCATCTCGTAGAGCTCCGGACGCAAATAATGGTAAGGACCAATTGCAACTTCTTGTGGGGTGTAGGAATCAGGATCACTGGCCAAAAGGGTTTTCGGTACATTGAAAACGGAAACAGGGATTTCGCTGTCATCATCGAGCTCTTCCTCGAGTGTTTTTCGGATTTGAATAACCCATTGGAACTCGTTGAAGTTCGAACTGGATTTGGACGAGAAAGTTTGTTGGAGAGAAGACATGTTTATGGTGTTGTTCTAGCTTTTTTAGGATCATAAACTTTTTTGGTGGGTTGAATGACAGTTTCTGATCAGATTGTGAGGAAGTACTCATATTAAATATTGTCATTAGGGACCTTTAAGAGTGGTTTTGAATTTATCAATTGTGAATGCGTTTTCCTTATGCTTTAATTGTTTAAGGTGTGAAATGTGTCTTTCACCTTGGTCATGACATAGATCCGAGTTGGCTACGGCATGCATGTCTTCATTATATTGAATTCTCATCCTTCTTAGTAATTGGTGTTAGCAAGAGCGGAGAGGATGTGGAAACACAGTTCGGTATGCTATGTATAATAATATAATTAGTTGGAAACTTGAAGAAAATAAATTTAAACAATTACGTTATAACATTTGGTACCGGATCGTGTTTCTGAGATACTGACAAAATTTCTCAATGAATAAGAATAAACTAGGTCAAAAATTCGAAACCCTAAATGTAACGAAAAATAAGTAATAATTCGTCTATTGGTGACAGGGAGTTGTATGTCTGTTATTCCCACTTGGTGCAAGTAGGATTAATGTAGTGTGAGAATCATAATCATTGGGCTCCATTTCACGTGTAGAAGACCTGTGGGATGACAGTGCCATGTTACATTTTCTGCATGGGTTTTGGATATATAT